ACTCTCATTCAATTTGTCAAATATCATTTTTTAGTTATTTTGAATTAATTCTTTTTCCATATGTCATTTTATGAGTTTTTTTATTTTATTAAATTCCAGACAATATTTTAATATAGTAATTACGTTAAATACAGTAATAAATGAATAGTCAATTCAAATGTTAATTGTGAAGAGTTACGGGCTAATGAAAGTAGCAAAATTCCTATTTATAATGAGGGGCAATTTCGGAATTCTCAAGAAAAAATAAAGGAGCAATTTTTTTTTTCTCATGACAGGTCTACTGATCAGCAGCACAATGTTGAAGACTTAAATGGTGCTGCTCAACTTCAGAATTTGAGGGTTGTTCACTAATCAAAACAGGGCCCGATAGCCACTGTTTCAGTTCCAGCAAGTGTTTTGGATAAGGAATGCAACCCGACAGCAGGTTCAGCTCCTTCGTTGGCCTCGGTTATGGACTCTAGGTTCCATGATTCTAATCAGGAAAGGAATGCTAAATGTAATGATACTCCAATTGGATTTTCGGGAGGCTTTGGAAGGCTATCAGTTATTGTAGATTCAGAAGATAATTTAACTCACCCTCCAGGTTTCTCAAATTGTAATAGCTTTGCTGGTTGTTCGGATACTTCATATAATAAAGGGTCCTTCTTAAGTGAGATCCAAAAAACAATGGAGATGGGAAAGGCAATGGGATATAACTTGGAGGGATGTTATGACCGAGTAAAAGAAATTGTTGAAGGGACCGACGATAAAATGGTGTTGAGATGAACTACCTCTCAATCAATATTCAAGGAGCGGGTTGTAAAAATAAACGAACATGGGTTCGGAAGTTGTGTCTTAAGCATAAGGTTAATTTCTTGGCTATTCAAGAAACGAAGATGGAAGTTATTGATGTTTGTATGGCCCGATCTTTTTGGGGGAATAATTATTTTTCTTACGTTTTCTCTCATTCTTGTGGAGCTTCGGGTTGCATTCTTTCTATTTGGGATTTGGATTCCATCTCTTTCAAATCCTCACATGTCACTGATTATTTTACGGCTATAGAGGCAATATGGTCTTCTTCGGGTCTACCGGTTATGTTTATTGTGGTTTGTGCTCCGCAAGGGGCTGATTCCAAGCGAATTCTTTGGGATAACTTTACCCAACTTATTAATTCTTTCCAAGGTGATTGTGTTTTGATGGGTGATTTTAATGAGGTTCGGGATGATTCAGAAAGATTTGGTACTATGTTTAACTCTAATGCAGCCAGGAGATTCAACAATTTTATTGAGCAGGTGGGTTTATTCGACGTTTCTCTTGGTGGTCCTCGGTTTACATGGAGTGACAAGTAGGGTTCAAAATTTAGTAAGTTGGATAGATTTTTAACTTCTCATGGTATCTTGGATGCTTTTCCCCATTTGACAGGTATGGTTTTGGAGAAGTACACTCCGGACCATAGACCTATTTTGCTTTTGGAGCATAGAGTTGATTATGGGCCTACACCCTTCCGTATCTTCTATTCGTGGTTCAACTAGGAGGGGTTTGATGATGTTGTCAGAAATGCGTGGTCCCAAGATCAGAATTTAACCAGGGTTTCACATCCTTGGGTTAAATTTAAGAAGAAGCTTCAACTACTTCAAGCAAATATTCGTATTTGGAACACATCTACTAGTGTTAAAATGGGCTCTAAACACATGGAGCTCCAAACAATGTTAGAATCTATAGATTCTCTCCTTATGGATGACGAGGGGAATGCTCCTTTACGGGAGCAACGGGTCAATATTCTTAGGAAGATCACAGAGTTAGACCATGTTACAAATTTGGAGTTAGCCCAAAAGGTGAAAATCAAGTGGGGCATTGAAGGTGATGAAAACTCGGGTTTTTTTCATGGGGTCATAAATAATAAGAGAAGACAAATGGCTATTAGAGGTGATTTGAAGGACGGGTGCTGGATTGATGATCCAAATACGGTTAAGGAGGAATTTCATTGTCATTTTCAAACTCTTTTTTCTAAGCAAGCGGGTACTCGACCCCGAACTTAGGATTCCCATTTTTCTCATCTTTCGTCTGCTCAAAGCCAATTTCTTCATGCTCCGTTTTCTCGAGAGGAAATAAAAAAGCCAGTGTGGGACTTCGGATCTTCAAAAGCTCTAGGTCCTGATGGGTTCAATTTTGGTTTTATAAAGCAGTATTGGGATATTCTTCAGGGTGACATTTTTTATATGGTGTCTCGTTTTCATACACATTCGTCTATTCCAAACGGATGTAATGCTTCATTTTTCACTATGATCCCAAAAATTAGAGACCCGAAGGTTGTGAAAGATTATAGACCTATTAGTTTGATTGGTTGCCAATACAAGATTATTGGTAGATTTCTTGCTAATAGATTGGCCGAGGTTATTGATAGTCTGGTGAGTGTAGAGCAATCGACTTTCATAAAAGGCTGAGAGATTTTGGATGGTCCGTTTCTTCTCAATGAAATTGTAGTTTGGAGTAAAGCTTCTAAGAATCCGCTTATGATATTCAAAGTGGATTTTGAAAAGGATTATGATTCGTTATCATGAGAATATTTGCTTGAAATCATGCAAATTATGGGCTTTAGTACTTTGTGGTGTAATTAGATTTTGGAGATGCTGTCTTTTGCTATGGTCTCAGTCCTGGTGAATGGTTCTCCATCCTGGGAATTTCATATGTTCAGAGGTCTGAGACAGGAGGATCCTCTATCTCCCTTTCTTTTTGTGTTGGCCATGGAGGGTTTGCATGTGGCACTTACTAGGGCTAAGCTAGTTAGTGCTTATAGGGGAATCAATATTGGTGGAATTACTATTTCCCATCTTCTATATGCTGATGATGTGGTCCTCTTGACTGATTGGAATCAGGAGAATGCTCCTAATATTGTTCGTATTCTCAGATGTTTCTTTCTAGCCTCGATTCTGAAAATCAATCTTCTTAAAAGCAAGTTGTATGGTGTGGGTTTCTGAGTTTGAGAGGGAGATGGAGGCTGAATGATCACGAAACCCTAGCCTTAATGTTCTTTATATAGGGTCCAAAGCCTGAAATTAAGATTTTTCACTGAAAATATGTGCCATATCGTGATGGGTCATTTAAATCCCGTGGTCTAAAACATTCTACCACATCGTGGTGATGCTCCACCACGCCGTGGCCACCCAAATTAAAGTTAATACATAAAAAGTTGATTCGTACTTGGAACAAATGTTATAATTTGAAAGCTTTGAAATAAAGAATACTTCCCTCCTACCCATAGACGTTGGTCACATTGACCGAATCATGTAAATATTGTGTCTTGTGTGCTTTTAGTTTTTGCTTGTTATCCGCTTTACTTCCTAGCACTGATTTTATGTTTCAAAACCAGATGTCACAAAAAGCTAGTAGAACGGACATAATGTTTGCTACCAACTTGTTTACAAAATTTCTTTTCTAGCCCAAAGAATCACCTTTGGTAGTTGTTAAGATGATATTGAGATATAATGTTTGCCCAAAAAAGCTAGTGGAGCTGACATAATGTTTGCCACCAACTTGTTTACAAAATTTCTTGTCTAGCCCAAAGAATCACCTTTTTTTGGAAAAAGGCCACAACCTTGGCAAAGATTTTATAACATAAAAAGAAAATACAGGAGTTTAAATCACTTTTGGACAAACCCCAAAAATGATACAAAGCCAAACATCAAGAAGGTACCAAAACCAAAGACTAGGTTTAAAAACAATAAAAACAAATAAACAACACATTATTTTTATCCAACTCCACAAGCCGGAATGGTTTTTATCTTTCCAATGAACCAAGCAATCCATTTGTCTTCTAATCTTCATGCATCTTCTAAGTTTGGTATCCTCAAGCTTCAACCCAATCCAAGTAATCAAAAAATCACTATTATCCTCAAAAAATATCAACATCTTCAATCTCATGTAGCAACACTTCCAACCGAAAATAGTATCCAAATTAGCAACCAACACTATACACCTCATACTTTTATTCTTATTCTTCAAATAGCCCAAAAAGAGTAAACCACTGTAAGCTTTTATATCATCATTTTTCCATTTGCCAAAAATCTCAACAAACCAAGGTTTGAAAAGAACAATCCTAATTTCAATATCAACAAAAATATCTTCAATGTATCCGGTCTTCATCCCACACAAATCCTTATTCTTCAAAATCTTCAAAGCAATCCAATCTTCATGCACCCATTTATAAATGAATAAATTCGTCAAATTAGCCATCCAAAAGTCACTATCTTCATCCACCATCCAAATAATCATCAAGAACAAATCAAGCCTTGAATTTTTACAGAAAAAAATCATGAAACCAACCAACTAAAGTACTTGGGTTTGAACCAAGATTTAAAAACTTTTTACAAAAAAAGTTGGAAAACCAAACTATAAGATCCGGATTTGAACCGGTAAACCACAACTTTTTATAGAAAAAATTGGAAAACCAAACTATAAGTTCCAGATTTGAACCGGGAAAACACAACAGTTTTAGGAAAAAATGGTAAAACCATCCAACTAAATTACTTGCGATTAACTTTTTATGGAAAAAGTTGAAAAACCAAACAACTAAAGATTCATGACATCTTTTTTTTTTTGGAAAAAACGGTAAAACCACATAACTAAACTACTTGGAATTGAATCGAAATTTATTTTCTTTTTTTGGAAAAAGTAAGAAAGCCAAACAACTAGAATTTCCGGATTTGAACCGTATAAAAAGTGATATTTTGTAAAACAAAAAATATCAAAATTATTGTAGTACAGTCTAAAAACGACGCACTCAAGCCCGCATATTCCCGGGTGAATACCCCATCACTTACTGATCGAACCAGTAGTAACACCCATAAAAGTGAAGGATCCTAAATGAATAGGATTGAACCGGCTAAACACATGAAAGCCAATTTTTTTAAGGAAAAAAATAAAAAACCAACCGTTAATTCTTTTTATGTACACTTCTTGTTGCCTAGAAGGAAACGAACAATTAATGGGGATTAAACCCATTTGTAGATTCATAAAATCCACTTCATAAGAAAAATATCTTATGAAACTCAGGATAAAACCGAGATGCAAATCACTTTTGACAGTAAAAGTGAAAAAAACCTTACACCCTTCAATTTCTTTACAATGAAAGTAAGAGAAGCCTCCATTCACAAAATTAGCACTCCTCCACCACCAAAAATTCCATAATTGCCCCTCAAGAAAATAAGTGCAATTACTCCTATACATAAGATTCTTCAGCCACACAGCCCCTAATCGACCCTTCTTTCTTCCCTCAATGATATTCATATCCCAGGAACTAAACCATATAGATCTGAATAAATAAAAAATTTCCAGCGTGTGGACCAAATTGCCCCTGTCTCCAAGAATTAAAATCACGAATTAAAGGGGAGTTACTTAAGAACCAATTGAGCTTATTCACATCAGACATGCCTCCAACTTGAATAAACCAGAACCGAACACCTCCAATTTTTGATTTATACCCAAAATACCCTTGCCTCCTAACGTCCTCAGACCAATAAGAAAACCCTTCAAGTTCAAGACCCATGCCGCCTTTCATCTTGATCTTGTATCGACTGATAAACATCAAAAGAATCCAAACCTCCTCACCAATCGAATTAAAAAAAACCATATCTTTTATTTCCATTTTCATCTGATCAATAAGTATCCTTCATCCGCACGCCTATTAAGACCCCACCACTTAACTTTTTTCCCAATTAAGTTTTTATTACTCCACTAATACGCCCCCAAAGAATCACCTTTGGTAGTTGTTAAGATGATATTGAGAT